AGAAAAACAAAACAAGTCCCACCCATCCCGGATCTCAACTTTTACATTCATAAAACCTTCTGATGCGTACCTGAAAGGAGCTGACAATCACAGATTTATTCGCGCTCAGATGGCGTTCCCAAGCCAGTAAGGCCCGTTGCTTCGGATCCAAATGCTCGTCTTCTTCGTCTCCCTGTTCGCCGAATTGAGTCACAGTCGGGGATCCTTTACGTGCCTGGTGCACGGATCAATTGATAGGGGGAAAACGAGGAGAGAGAGAGAGAAAGATGTGGGTGGACGCGTGTGAAATGAAGACCATACCGCGTCGAATAAACCGATTGTTAAGACCGGACTACGGATTGACAGAACAAAGTATACCATGACGAGACCGAAGTTGTTTACTCTTCTTAAAGTCCCATTAGAAAAGTCTTTGTGGGATGCTATACACAACTTGGGATAACTCGCAGTACAGCCTCGACCAGTCGGAGATGTGCGGTGCAAGAAAAGGCGTGCACAATACGAATTTAGACGGTACGAGTATACATAAATTCAGTGTTGGCAACTCATCTTTATTATTTTGATAAAGCCCAGCTTTGTTTTGGCGATGTGCGAGCAGATGAAGCGAACCAGTGAGGAGGAGTTTGGGGTAGACGAGAATTCGGGCTTACTTCCACCGAGCACGAACGCGCAGAATAGCCACAAATAGCTGTCGTGAGGATGTATCCCCGTTTTATGTGTTAGTGCCGTCCAAGTACAGATGTGTACACAAGCGTATATGCGTGTTGGTTCATCGGGGGCTAAGTTCAAGCTACACGCACAATTGAAATCCTGATTTGTACCTAATATACAACCGGTTCCGCGGAAAACATATGAACACGTTGGAAATAACAGATAAAATCAAGATCGACTGCCGGTGTTCGAACACCACTGTCTGCATAGCATGGTACGAATCTGGTGAGGCAATCGGACAAGCAATGCTGAGATTAGGAACAGTTTTAGATATTCGCGGTCACCCACTGGAACAAGTGGTCAACCTCCATAAATTACGCTGATCGGGGCATGTGTTGCGTATGCCAACAAACAGGTTGCCACGACGAGCGATATTTACCGATGGAGGTGATGAATAGAAAAATTCAGGGACAATTAAATCAAGAGTTGGTATGAAAATCCTGACCGGGAGACTCGGTCATATAGGTCACGTTAAACTCCCTGGATGGGGACCTACGAATCATTACAATCAATGGTTAGAAACACTGAATGATACGACTGAGTGGCATAAACAATAGGGCTCGTGCATCAACTGATCGTCTTTGCGGTCTTCGTCTACTAGGATACTCCATTCACTGAGACTCGACTTTCAGCTTTACCATATTTCTTCTACCCTTTCATCCAAATGAACAGCAAAGACAATATCCAAAACTGCAGCAGGAAAGACCCTGATCAATGGCTGTACGAAGTGAAACTGATCACACCCTCAGGATTGCAAATCTGTGGATGAACGCTGAAACGTGATCTATTTGTTTAGCGTTGGACGAATCATGAAACTTGGGCAATATGGACAATAGAAACGGATATCTAAAATGCATGTAGAATATGTGGTGCGTACAACGATCGCGTAAGATTATCTTGATGTACAGTGACAAACGATTCAGTGAATAGAAAATGGCGATCATGCGTAGTTTTGGAATACAGCATACAAAACTTGTTTGACGTGTTTGGTCAAGAGCCACGGTGCGTGAGATGAGCAGGACCGGTCAGCCACCTGGTATCGTCAGAAATATCAAGTAAGCGGCTGGCTGCATCCGTTGGAAGCACCAACAGCGAATCGACTCTACGGCGGTATTCACATCAACTCGAAGTGGTGCGTGCGTGTGCATAGTCCGATTGCGTATTGCATGTATTCGCGACCTGTCTGCATTTCCGCAGCGTTCTGGAATGGCTACGACACGAATATGAACGGTGTCACATCCCAGAACCGACCAACAGCAACGTTTTGCTAAAAAGACATGACAGCCGCGTTCGACTGTCGTACTGACAGCCCTTGGGATGGATGGCTAGGCAGTTTCAGTTCAGTTTGTACAACCACTGACCATACACTTCCATGCATTGCTTTGGTTGCCATCTTTTGGCAGCCCATTTGGATGAACTTAAGGAGGAAAACAGGAAGGTTGAAAATAGGATCAAAGAGAAAATTGAGAAGTTTGGTGGACTAATGTTGCACAGTAATTGACACGATGCACGAACGCCACTGTTTACGACACTCAGACATATCTCTCAGTGTCTCTAACCATCGGTTATGATCATCCCGAGGTCCCCAACCAGGGAGCCTAACACGACCTATGTGACCCAGTCTCCTGGTTAGAGTTTACATACCCTCATTCCAGGTCTTAGCTTGACCACCCTTGGCTTTTATCCACCCACTACCTGCCTCGGCGAACATCGCTCGCCGTGTCAACCTATGTGGTGACATGCGTAACATGTCCCAAGCAACGTAATCTATGGAAGTCGACCATTTGCTCCAGTGGGCGACCGTGGTTGTCTAAAACTCTGCGCCATACCTCAGCATTACTCGT